CGGCTCCGCGCCGCTGCTGGCGGGCGCCCTGGAGGTCCCCTTCGCCGCCAACGCCTCCGCCGCCGCCGCTTGCCGCCCCGCCGCGCCACCCTGCGCGGCCGCGCCACCGGGCGCTTGGGGCAACGCCTCGGCGGCGGCGGCTGCTGCGGGCTGGAACCGCTCCGATCCCTGCGGCGGCGGCGCCAACGGCAGCGCGGGCGGCGGCGGTCCTTGCGCGCCCACGGGCGGCGGCCCCTCGGTGGTCACGGCCATCGCCATCATGGCCATCTACTCCGTGGTGTGCGTCGTGGGGCTCTTCGGCAACTTCTTGGTCATGTATGTCATCGTCAGGTGAGTGCCGGCCCTGCCCCGTCCCGCAGCCCCCGGCCGCCGCCGTCGGGGCGGACGCTCCGTCCCGACGGGGGATGCTGCCGGCCCTCTCCGTCAGGCAGCGTGGAGAGAACCGCTCCGGGGGATGGGGAGGTGGAGGGAGAGGAGGAGGAAGGGGCAGGAGGCTTTTGAGAAAGCCCCGGAGCAGGTGATCGGGGAAGGGAAACTCGCCGTGGGGCCGTGAGGACTGAGCTGTCTCTCTGAAACCGCTCCAGGTCCGGGGATGCTCTACGGTCCCCCCCGGTGCTGCGGCACCTCTGCGAGCTGCTCTGCCCCACGGGGCCCCAATCTCGCACCTGCCCGCTGGGGTGGGGGGATTTAGAGGGACTTTGGCCGCTGCCTGGGAGCGTGTTGCGGGTACGGGCGCACCCGCACACCCGGCACGCACCTCACGTCTTGCCCCCCGCCGCTCCCAAGCGCACAATGGTCTCTCTGCCCGGATTTGTATGTCCTCTGCCTCGAGTCTTGATGTATATGTTTATATTCCTATACGTTTAGATACGTAGATACACACACAAACGTGCGCAAATGCGCCAGGATGGCGGCCGCTGCCCGCAATCCAGCTTTCCCTCCCGCAGACGCATCCCGGGCTTTGGCCGGGCGCTCCCCGCCGGGCCTGTCACGCACCGGAGATCCCGTGCCCGTTAAACCGGCGGCGGGCGAGCGAGAGCGGGATCACACGGGCTGCCTTCACCCGCCCGGCAGCGGGGGAACAGCGCCACCTCCCGGCGGCGGCGCGGCGGGACGCGACGGGACGGGCCCGACCCAGCGGCTCTTCCTTCGCGGCCGCTTGGCTTTCCCAAATCAAGCGATTTGGGGGCGACCCTGAAGGAAGGGGGTAGCCCTGCCCGGCATTTCCAGGTTTCCCCACGTCTGGAAAACATCCCTTTTCCCTTCGAACACCGTGGGGGTAGCCCTGCCCGGCACTTCCAGGTGTCCCCACGTCCGGAAAACATCCCTTTTCCCTTCGAACACCGTGTTTCCCAAGAAGGCGGGGGGAGCAGCCGTCGGGGCAGGGGTGCCGTGGGGCAGGGAGGTGGCAGGAGCAGAAACTGGAGCCCGGCATAGCTCACAGGCCAGTGGTGGGTGCTGTACTGACAGTGGGAGCCACCAAAAGCCAGGGATGAGGTGAAAGTAGGGTGCTGCAGAGGTGGTGGAGTCACCATCCCTGGCTGTGTTCAAGGGCCGTTTGAATGCAGTGCTAAGGGACATGGTGTAGGGGAGGACTTTGTAGAGTAGGGTAGATGGTTGGACTCGATGATCCCAAGGGTCTCTTCCAACCTAGACGATTCTATGATTCTATGACGGAGGATGATTCCTTCAGCACATCTTGGGGATGTCCCTGCAAAGCCCTCGCAGCTCATAGACCTAATGGGAACACAAGAAATACACATCAGTGGTTCGAAGTGTGGCAGTTCAGAAACATGGTGGTGGTAACGATACTTGAGATGCTTCCTTTGAAAGGCGCAGAGGTAGGGAGGTTTCTCTTCTGCAGGTTCTCTTCTGGGGTTTGGTTGGTCCAAGATTCAGGCTATCTACATGAAGATACAGCTGCAGAAAGGCTTCTGAACAGGGGCACGGCTGTGTTTGGCTGAGCAAGTGTTTGAATGCATTCCTCTGGGAGAAAAACCAGATGCACAATGTAACAGAGCCGGGATAACTGTCAGCAGAGAAATATGCCACAGGTTTTCACTGAAATTATATCTTTTTACCAGGCATAACCCATGCTAGGTTTGTATTTCGTACATTAATTAATTGGATTACACTTGCACCAGGAAGACAAATTGAATGAGGCACTTGCATTTAGATTTTTATCTAAAGAGAGCATCTCTCCCCGAGATTACAGTTAAAAACAAAAGCCAGAAGCAATAGGAGAAAGCAAAAATATAATTTCATTTTACAGAGGAAAACACAAATCAATTAAATGGCCTCTCCAAAACCATCCAGGAATTCTATGGCAAAGGCAGAGGATGGAACCCAGGTCTCCAGTGCAAGCACAGCTTGCAGTATGACGGAGTTCCTTCCTAATTAATATCATGCAGCTGTTTACCTGTTTGGGATGAAAAAGAGTTTACATGTTAATGGTTGAACAGGATCTGTGGTTTAAGCAACAAAAAATGCATTTCCTTTCCTTTCTCTATAGGTTTGTAGGTCTGTACAGCAATAGGGAACTTTTTTATTTATTTCCTGTTGCAAGCTGTACTAACATGACAGTATTTCGAATCATACAATATGTGTATATGTAATAGTGAGCACCTGTGTTTCTCTATAGGTTTAGTATATCTGTACAGCAATAGGGAACTTTTTTATTTATTTCCTGTTGCAAGCTGTACTAACATGACAGTATTTCGAATCATACAATATGTGTATATGTAATAGTGAGCATACGCACTCGTGTTCATGTATCCTTGGATCCAGCTCAGACAGAAGGCAAAACTTGCACTGAATTTAATTTGGAATCATATAAAGCTCCACTTCTTTATCTACCTTTCACCCCATGCCTGCTCAGGAGGAAAAAAATATTAAAGTTTGCATTAATTCTCAGAAGAATTGGGACTTACTTTTCCTCCTGCTCAGGAGGAAAAAAAATATTGAGGTTTGCATTAATTCTCAGAAGAATTGGGACTACTAGACATAAGATTTTAAAATTATATTGGTTGCTAGATTGCCTTGAAAATACTAGGAGTTGGGAGGTAAGTGCTTAGATATTTGAAACTCTGTCCCTACTCCACCCTTCAGAGTCCAGCCCTGGTGAAAACACCAGTCACTTCATATTCAGTGTGCTGGGTGCTAATATCTCATGTTCAGAGTCTTTATAAATATTTTTAATAACCGCTATATTATTCTTACAACTTTTCCGTACGAGGCAGATCCATGGGTTTTGAGCCAGAGCTGTGCAAGTGCTTGCCTGATGTGGCACTGTCACATCAATGTGTCCACAATGCCACCCTGTTACCCCAGATGGGGCAAACAGGGGTCAGAATGCAGACATGTAATCTGGAGATAAAAACGTATTGTAATTATTGATACAAAACTCAGGTTCTTCTTGCAAAGAAGTTCCATGGATTTCCAATTTCTGTACCTGTTTATTTAATATTATTAATGCGTTCTTATCCACTGTCCTCATTCTCAGAAGTGGTTCCTGTTCCAATGAACGCTCTCATCCTTGAATTAATATTTACATTATATCTGTAGTGTGTGAGGCTGAACCTCATGTTACTAACACTGAGATGCTTCCTTTGTCAAGTACAAAAAAATGTCTTCTGAGTGACAGCAGTAATAATCAGGTTTTACTGCCAGCCATGAATTTCCTGCAATCTGAAAAATCTGTAGATAATTTTTATTATCTATTTTCCTCATGTGTTTTGTGTGAGTGTAAATTACTAAAATGAACACAGCGTTGTTATGGCTATGTCAACAGCAAATGCTACTTCTAGCTGCTGCAGAGTACAACGAGACAGTGTACAATTAGTACCATGTGGCATTGAATTAATTTACACAGCCATCTATAGGCTTTTCCAGCTTTCTCATCAAGTCGGTGGGATTAGTCACACATTCGAGTGGGCCCTGTGATTAAGGCAATATGCTAGAAAGCTGTAATAGATCATCGATGAAAATTTAGCATCCCCAGTCTGGAAAAGAGGAATAGCTCTCGGGTGCCCCAGTCCTCCACGGTGCCAAGTGCCCTGAGAGGAGTGTAATTCCACCAACAGCCTCTATAGTCTCTCGAGTCAAGTGATTCCTTAATTGCTTTGCTATTAATTTTGTCACATATCATAAACAAAGTGGCCTCGGGTTCTCCATGATCCTTCGCAGGAGGAAGGAAATGTCTTGTTTCATTACAGTAAGTGATTACTCTGGTTTAAAAAAAAAAAAAAAAAATCAAAACAGGGAAAGAAGTCGTCTCTGAAAGAAAGAGACTTATTTCTACGTTTCTCAAAACAACCTTTTAGTAGTGTTTTGAAAAAAAAAAAAAAAAAACCAAAAGAGCTGTGACTGAAACACCATCCAATCTGGAAAGACCATGCAGTACTGAAAGCTCTGGTTACTTCTGCCCAGCTCGCTCACACTTGAGGAAAACTGTTTTACTAAGCAGAACGGAATTTGAGGTGAAATTTCCATTGTAGAAAGAATTGATGTCACCAGAGGAATAAATATTCTCACACAAATGCACAGAAAGAGAAAAGTGAGGAAAGAGGTCATAACATATGAAGTGAAGAGAGTCTGTTTAGAGAAATGAAAATGATCCCAAGCTTGAAAGTGGCTGAAGCGAAGCAAGGTTTTCTGAAAAACAGGAGCTCTTAGTAAGGTGACGTGGAGTTATGGATGCAGTGTGAAGGAAGGCCTACAGCATCTCTCAAACCAAGAAATGCATAAAATTTATCCTTTTCTTTCCTGTCCACAGCTTCCCTGCGTTTGGAATTAAATGTGTGAATGAGTGTCCTGCCCGTTCCACTGTCTCCAAAGAAAATATTCCACCCATTGCTAAGAGCTGTTACCTAAAGCCACATCAGCCTTGACCAGCCCTGTGAATTATGTATTGATAACATTCACCAGCAGGAGCCAGAGATTTGGGGACAGAACTGAGGGAGTCAGGCTGGGCAGGGAGAGCACAGAATTAAATTAGCTGTGCAGTGAGGGGTGACCCTCAGCATCCTGCATTACAGAAAGGCAGGTGTGCCTGTTTGCACACTGTTTGTGGTAGAAGTTTACCAACCTCAGCTAGTGGGTAAATGTTTGACTAGCAGGCTGCTCTCTTTGCCTTGCCCAAGATCAGGGGAAGCAGACAGATAAAACAGCATCTATACCTTTGTATTCTAGTTTTTAAAAAAAATTATATTGTCATGGATATGGTCAAAATTTGGCCCAAAATACGTTAGTCTGCAACATGGGAATAATCCCCATCTCCCTGAGGGAGCAGAGGTGACTGGGGGTTAAGTAAGAGCAGCAGCTGGCTCTGC